AAAGAAACAGCCCTGGGGTACTAATATTATGCTTACTCTCTGACCACCACCTGCCCAGTCTCTTTATTAAACCATCACCAAATACCTTAACTTGAATATACCATTTGTTTCCTGTGTGAGCATGCCCAATACACCTGGTTCCTTAAGTGAGATTTTACAGCAAAGGTGAACTCGACATAGCCCTTGAGGGGAACTTTCACTTTCTAAGTAAGAAAAAATAGAATTCAGAAATTGAAAGGGCACAAAAGATTACAGAATCCCACCTTTCCACCCTGTCAATACACTGGCCTCTTCATTTGATATTTTGACATGGCTGAAAGATACTCTTCTCTTTGAAGTTTTTCTTAGTTTCACACCTTCTGGTGTCCTGTCATATGCTCCCAGATATTGATAATGTACCTGCCATGTACCTTATGATGATTCACTTCTCTTCCTACTTTTCTTTAGTCAAATTTCTGTGAGCTTTTTATTCATACAATGCATTGTGAAGTCATTGGGCTTTCACTTGATAGGAATGCATCATTTGCTTAGTATTACAGGTTTTCTCTACTCTTGTCTCATTAGCCCAAGACAAAGTAATACTATTTAGTGCTATAGCAATCATAACCATGAATGCAAATTTGAGCCCTAAAACTCTGTGGTAGTATCCTGTTTTCAAAGAGTTATTCATATGAACCAGAACATATTACATTACTTTTTTTGGGAGGATGTGGTAAAATATGTACATTATCTTCATCAAAGTGATTTATCACTCTCTCTCTCCATATATATATATATGTCAGACTTTACCAAATTGTACACCTAATTTAAAAAAAAAGTCAGTACAGGCCAGGTGCAGTGGCTCACATCTGTAATCCCAGTACTATGGGAGGCTGAAATGGGAGGACTGCTTGAACCCAGGAGTTTGAGACCAGTCTGGGCAACATAGGGAAATCCTATCTCTATAAAAAATCAACAGAAAAAGAAAAGTCCATACAATTATGTGTCAATTACAAATTTAAAATATTTAAAGTCATTTGTCTTTTTCGCTCTTGTTCTGGGTACCCAGTGCTCTTTTCCAATGGTTAAATGACACAATGTCTTTATTACACCAGCTCCTGAGAGCTGATTGTGTACATATATTCCCAACTCTGTTTAGAGGTGTCATGTAGTTAGCTTGAACTCAGCCATGGTGAAGTATCTACACAGTGAAAATTAGCAAAATTGGGGTTTTTCATGAATAGCTGGTTAAACAATTAACAGCCCACCACTAGCTGTTAACATACATAAATAAAGACTCATGGCAGTCCTATAATACATATATATTTTTGACATGGGGTCTCAGGTTGAACTCAAGGTTCTGGACTCAAGGGTTCCTCTGGCCTCGGTCTCTCTGATAACTAGGACTACGGATGCCTGCTACTGTGCCTGACATAGTCCTTCATTTTGTGTGTGTGTGAGTGTCTCACTCTGTCACCCAGGCTGGAGTGCAGTGGCATGATCTCAGCTCACTACAACCTCTGCCTCCCAAGCTCAGGCGATCCTCCCACCTCAGCCTCCTGAATAGCTGGGATCACAGGCATGCAACACCACACATAGCTGATTTTTTTTCTTTTTTTTGTAGAGACAGAGTTCACCACTTTGCCCAGGCTGGTCTTGAACTTCTGGACTCAAGCTATCCTCCCACCTCGGCCTCCCGAAATGCTGGGATTATAGGCTTGAGCCACCGTGCCGGGCTTCAGTCCTTAATTTATTTTTAAAATTTTTAATTTATTTTTATTTTTTTGAGACAGTCTCGCTCCATTGCCTAGGTTGGAGTGCAGTGGTGAGATCTCGGCTCACTGCAACCTCCGCCTCCCGTGTTCAAGCGATTCTCATGCCTCAGCCTCCAGGGTAGCTGGGACTATAGGCGTGTGCCACCACGCAATGCTAATTTTTGTATTTTTAGTAGAGACAGGGTTTCGCTATGTTGGCCAGGTCCTGGCCTGCCTCCGCTTCTCAAAGTGCTAGGATTACAGGCGTAAGCCACCGTGCCAGGCTTCAGTCCTTAATTTTTAACTGTGTAAAAGAATTCTGAGACCAAAAAGTCTAAGAATCACTTGGTACAGTGATTCTTTATCTATGGAGCTAGAAAGTCTTACTAGGGGAAAAAGCAAAAAAAAAAAAAAAGGGACTTTGGACTTGCAGACACTCAACCCTATGAAATCTTTTGCAGAGATTCATACTAAGTTGCCTTTACCAAATGCCACCACTGCCATTCTCCCATGGGGGTCATTGTTGACCTAGTCTTTCCCCAAAGACCAGGAGGGTCTGGGGTTGAATGATGAACTTCTTCTTAAATTTGAAGAGCCCAAAGGCTGTTAGGAAGGGAGGGGCTGCCACCTCCTCTAGCAAACACCAAAGATCTATCACCTTACATCCTATAGCTACTTGAGGACCAAAAATGGAACTTCAAGGTACTGCTAGGAAAAGAATGGCACCAGATCAAGCTTTCTAGATAATGGATTCCAACTCCAGCAAGTGGGATAAGAGGTTCATGACACAAATATATTTGTATTAGGTGACTCAATCACCAGGATACCAAGATCTGTTACTTTCACAAAGTGCTCTGAGGCAACGTAAATATGGAAGGAACTTCAGAGCCAGCTCTTGCGCTCCAGGCTCCTTTTTAACTATTTAATGTGGTGTGGAAAATATCAGCTTGCTGAGGATTATCATCTCAATAGAGAGCTCCTTGGGAAGGAAAAGGCTGAAATTTTAAAAAAGGATCTTCATTAAAGAATAGGGAGTTGATTATGTTGCAGAATCATATCTTCTTGTTTTGTGACACGTTGGAAACATAAACTTCAGAGCTTTTTTGTCTCCACAGCACAGAGGTCTGATTGCTTCTGTTTAAAAATAGGGATCTGCTGACGGATTTCAGCCAACTTCTTAAGGTCTGTGTCTGAATACATGATTGTTTCTTCCTTGAGAGCCCTCCCTAGGCAACATAGGAGGCTTTGTCATGTGGGGCAGGAGACTGTGGCCACATACACCTGATTATCAAGAGCCTGAAGCAATTCCCAGTGGGCTGGTCCAGTGGTTGAAATGAAAGCCCCTGGATAAACCAACAGCTGGCAGCCTGTGCTTGTGCAAGCTCTGCAAACCAATGTCATAACAGATGCCCCAACCCATTCTGCAGTTTGGAGTATCAAATGGGGAGAAACTATTGCCCGGACTCAACATTCTGGATTCTTGAAATGTCATTTTTCCAGGAACACCAGTGTCAAGCAGATGGACCTTTCTGTGCTTTACTAGTAAAGTTCCATGAGGTGCAAACAGAGCACAGGTGTTATATGATTTCCCAGCATCCTCTTCAAGGATGGAACCTCTAGTGAGGCTGTATTCCTTTGCTACTTCAGAAAGCTTCTGTGTGGATTTACCAGGAATTTTCGCTGCATATTCAGGAAAATATTTTGTGCCATATGGAGAATTAAAGCATCCCAGCAAAGAAACTATTTTGGCTCCTTTTGTTGCTGTCTCCTGGACAAGGCTACAAGCTCGCGTGTTGTTATCTGATTTGATGAAGAAACTTGAAGCTGGATGAGGGCCAAGTCGAAAGTTGCCCTGGCTCTCCTGGGAAGCACCAGCAGTGGCACTGGCTCAGTGCAGTGTCCCTGTATTACTTTTCTAAGTCACAGAAACATAAAAATGTTAATGTTAAAGTTATCCTAAAGCCCTAAAGCTTTTTTTTTTTTTTTTTTTTTGAGTCTCGCTTTGTCACCCAGACTGGAGTGCAGTGGCACAATCTCGGCTCACTGCAACCTCCGCCTCCTGGGTTCAAGCGATTTTCTTGCCTCAGCCTCCAGAGTAGCTGGGACTACAAGTGTGCACCACCAAGCCCGGGTAATTTTTGTATTTTTAGTAGAGACGGGGTTTCACCATGTCGGCCAGGCTAATCTCGAACTCATGACCTCAGGTGATCCGCCAGCCTCCACCTCCCAAAGTGCTGGGATTACAGGCATGAGCCACCGCGCTGGGCTCCTAAGGAATTCTTAAGACTCTCCTCCCCCAGTACATCTGCTAACCTTAAGTTGAGAAACACGGATTTTCAGGACTGAATTGATGTGAGAGGTGAGGGAAAAGGAAAAATCCTGATACACCGACTCCACAATGTCTGGTCTGGGAGTGCTTGGTGATCCTATTAACTAAAATCAGAAAAAAAAAAAAAAAAGAAAAGAAAAGAAAAGATACATTCAGGAGAAATGATGAGGTCAGTTTTGTTTAGCCTCAATTTGAGTTTCCTACAGTACATTCCCTTTCTGGTAGAATAAGCTGGAGGTGGAGATATTTGGTAGACAGCAACGTCTGTGAAACTGAGAATGTTGATGTGGCCATGCAGGAAGAACGTGCAAAGCTAAGTAAGAAGGGAAGATAGTGGAGGAAAAACTGTCGGTGAATACAATTCCTGGAGAGTAGCAGTTAGCAAGGAGCAGGGTGGGGGATGGGGAGAGGAGAGGTAAGTAAGCTAAAATAGGACAAAATTTAAGAAGAATAAAATGGGCAACGCAGATCAAGTAAGATAAAGACCTAAAAGAATTACTTGTGTTTGGTAATTAAGATATGATAGTGATTTCACTCCACTGAAATTGCATAGTAAGTGAAATTTCAGTAGAGTGTGGGGGCAAAGTCTGATCACAGTGCGTCTAAGAGCAGAGAAGAAGTGAGGAAATTTCGTAGCTAATAATTCAAGACTGTTCTGCTTTGTTGTAAAAAACGTAGTTGGAGGGGACTGGACTTGAAAACAATGCAATAAACGCGGGGTGGGGAATTGAGGGAACTCATACTTCACACCGAATGGCTTCAATTTTCTTTGTACTATATGAGGTAAGGTCCTCTGTAGAGACTAAGAAGGGCAGAGCTGGGGCAAATGACTTTGGAGGCGTGCTGAATGTTGGGAGAGGAAGCGGCCCAGGAAATAGGCAAAAGGAAAACTCAGAGGGGCCGAGGACCCGGCTGAGGGTGTTTATGAATTCGACGTAGCACCAAGCTCAAGGTTATGTGACTTTCTCTTCCAATTCTGCCCTGCAGAGTGTAAGACGCAGAAAATGCAGACGAAGGTTGACTTCTACTTAAATCCCTATCCCCAAAAGCCCAGACGTACGGACTCGAAGGCCTGTGGCCAGATCGTGCGTGGGTGCCTACTACAGATTTATGAAAAGCACCTAAGGGCCAGCGTGTTTGCCTTCTAAGGCGTACTGTTCCGCAGCGTCGGCATCCTCAGGCCTTCACGGAAATCGAGCCATTTTTTACAAGGAGTGGGGATAAACCTGGTGATCGGATGAGGGACTACGCGTAACTTTCTTTCTCTCCAGATCCATCCCGGAGGAGGCTGGGCGGGCGGACGGGCGGGCGGCTGCTCCGGTCCAGGGGTGGAGGTCGGGGCCCCGACCCGACGCAGCCAGGCGGAAGCGCGGCTGCCATTGGCCCAGAGGCTGCTTTTACCTGCGCGGGGCCCGGGGCGCAAAGTCCGAGGCGCCGGCGGGGAGGAGGCGGCGGCCGGCAGCGCAGGTGGGCCCGCGCCCTCGGCCCTGCAAGATGCCCCTGAGGCTACGGGGGAAGAAGAAGGCCAAGTCCAAGGAGACCGCCGGGCTGGTGAAGGGCGAGCCGACGGGCGCGGGCGGCGGGAGCCCCTCAGCGTCCCGGGCTCCCGCACGCAGGCTGGTCTTCCACGCGCAGCTGGCGCACGGGAGCGCCACGGGCCGAGTGGAAGGCTTCTCCAGCATCCAGGAGCTCTACGCCCAGATCGCGGGCGCGTTTGAGATTTCGCCGTCGGAGGTAAGGCGTCAGGTGCTCACGCTCTCCCGCCTCTCCGCCGCGCCGCGCGGACTTTGGTGGGCCTAGGAGGGTTGAGCGGCGCTTCCCGGAGCGCGAAATCCATGCCGTGTTGAGTCCGCCGGGGGCGTCCCGAGGGGAAGTGAGTGGGCCTTCCCGGGAAGGGAAAAGGTAAGTTGGCACGACCGGAGGAAGTCACCTTCCCCCTTGCTCCGAGAGCTGGCCTTTGGGAAGCGGGTTGGGGGAGGCAACCTTTCTTCCGCTTGCAAATGTGTTTGCTCCAGATGTCCCGGATTCCGGCGGCCGTTCAAGGTGTGAGTACCTTCCCAGACTAGCGATCTGGCGGGGCAGGTTAATACCCTCCACCTCATCTGGACGTTACTCTCCTGTTTCCTCCGCAGGCGTGAGAGTCACGCAGGTCATCTCCCCAGATTAACGGAAAAAAAAAATTGAAGTGCCTTCCAGGTGATACCCAGATTAAATGGGGGGAAAATTTGAAGAGCCTTCCAGGTAATACGAAACGGAGGCCCACTTTCCCCCAATCTGTCATTTCTAACATCAACACCAGAAATCCTTGGGTGGTATTTCCAAGAAGTTTAAAAAGCTGGGCTGTTATTCCAAGAGTGGATAACCTAGAGATTCATACTTAATCCCATGGGACTAGTTTAACAAAATTTTCATGAGGAAAATCAGCTCTTTTACATCATATCCTTAAAACGGGACTGAAATTTGCTTTAATTAGATTGCATGCGGGCCTGGAACTAAGTTTGACACAGGCATGACCGAAAGCACTAGTTTATGCGAACGTTTATGTGATCACTTTATTTGTGCTAACCCAAGTGAACTGCAAAGGTAGGTGTGAGAAGTTAGCTCAACAAAATATTTTGTCCACATTTCTAGGAAAAGCACATAATTTTGTTGCCCTGGACTCGCAGTAGTGCAGAGAGCTGTCTTTAAGTGGCATACAGCGGCACCTGGAGTTCTTTAATTAGTTGTTTATCAGGTCTGTTCAAGGGAAATCGAGGAGGAGACGAAAGACCTTAAAGTGTAACCCTTTGTTCTTTCGAAGTTCCCAGGTACTAAGGGGCAAATCGTAAACCCATCTGTGAATTATTTGTATTGATATAGGTTACTAATAATAATACTTTACATTTATGTAGGATTTTTTTTTTTTTTCAAAAAACACTTTCACAGGACACTTTCCTTTGATCTCTAGGGGAGGCAGGTGGCAGGTTAAACGCGATAACTTGGACATGGACCCAGGTTCTACCATTTATGAGCTGTGTGGACTTGAATGAGTTTAACTTCTCTCAGTTTTAGCCATCTATAAAATAGAGATTAGAATACTTGTCTTGAAGAGTGTTGTGAAGAGTGGAGTCTGCATGTAAACGTATCAGATTGCATAGTTTATGGTCAGGGCTTAATACATGGTAACTAAAATTATTAATACCTAACAGTTAAATGAAGGGCTGAAGTGCAAAGTGATTGGCCCTTAGCCAAGGTCACATACCTAGCAAGAAAAAAAACTGGGCTGTAATTTAAACTTGGATCTTCTGATTCCTAAGCTAGTGAGCTTGTTAGTATACTTAACTGACAGCTTTAAATGTCTTTCCTGTAACCAGGGACTTCAGTTTTAGTTACAGATGGTCCTGGGTTTATGATAGTTAGACTTAAGATTTTTGACTTTGCCATGGATTTGTTGGGATGTAACTTCCTGGACTTAAGATTTTTCCACTTTCTGGGTTTATTGGGGTATTAAATGCATTTTCACCTTATGGTATTTTTGACTCACAATGGATTTATTGGGACATAACACCTTGGTAAGTAGAGGAGTATCTGTATTTTGCATTAACACTTCTCCTCATCATTATATATGACATTATTCTGAGCTCAGGGTACATGATTTTATTCAATCTACTTAATCCCTAAGAAGTAAGTATTATTATTAATATCTCCACTTTACAGAGAGGAAACAGACTTTGAGGTTCAGAATTTTTTCATAATTACACGTAGCAAGTGGCAGAGCCTGGATTTGAACTCAGTGTATTCTTTTTTTTGTTTTCTGTTTTTCTTTTTTTTTTTTTAATGAGATGGGGTCTCACTCTGTTGCCCAGGCTGGAGTACAGTGGTGTGATTGTAGCTCACTGCAGCTTCTAACTCCTAGGCTCAGGCAATCCTCCTGCTTCAACCTCCCAAGTAGCTGGGACTACAGGCATGTGCCACCACATCTGCCTAATTAAAAAAACTTTTTTTTAGAGATGTGGTTTTTCTACGTTGCTCAGGGTGGTTTGAACTCCTACTCTCAAGGGATCCTCCTACCTCAGTCTTTTGAATAGCACAGACATGGAGCCATTGTGCCCATCTTTTTTTTTTTTCCCTCCCATGAAGATATATTGTTTCCCAAGTTTTCCAGAGTCTCAGCAATAGTTTGGTAGCCACTTTCAACATTTTCAGTGCACTGACTTGCAAGGTCAGTTTCCAAGATAATGTACACGAGGTGTTTTCACGTGTTACCTCAAAGTTTATAACATTTTATAACTCCAGTATATATGTATTTTATCATGTTTATGCATGTAACCAACATTAATGCAAGTTTTCCATCTGGATAAAAAAAGTTAATTATATGCAGGATAAAGTATTGGTCATCATAGGATAGTATGCATAATATTTCAGTGGTTCACTTTGAAACAGAAGTAACTTATTAAAATGAAATGCACACCAAGGAGATTCCGTTTTTGTAGCCCATTTACTCAGCAAGCAATTACCTCAATAATGATGTAAATAACTTTTTTTTGCTGATTTTTGTTTTTTGAGATGGAGTATTGTTCTGTTGCCCGGGCTGGAGTGCAGTGGCACAATCTTGGCTGACTGCACCCTCCACCTCGTGGGTTCAGGTGATTCTCCTGCCTCAGCCTACCTAATAGCTGGGATTACGCACCACCATGCCTGGCTAATTTTTGTATTTTTAGTAGAGATGGGTTTCACCATGTTGGCCAGTCTGGTCTTGAACTCCTGACCTCAGGTGATCTGCCCGCCTCGGCCTCCCAAAGTGCTAGGATTACAGGCATAAGCCAGTGCACCTGGCCTAGAATTGTGATTTTTAAGGTGAGATTTTATCTTCACAAGCATGCTATTATTTCTCATAAACAGACCAACCTTCTTTTGACACCTGTTGCCATCCCCTGTATTACCACCTCATTTCTCCTTTATAGCAAAACTCCTCAAAAGTTGCTGTCCCTGAGATACAATTTGTATCTCATTTTCGACTCTAAACTTTTCATGGCTTCCCCTCTCACTTGGAACAAACCAAAATACTATGATGGGCTATGGGCTCTGTTACCTCTTCAAAGTCATTGCTCCTTCTGCTCCAGCCAGCCTGGTCTCCTTGAATGCTGGAGCCTTAAGACTTTTGCTTTGGTTTTTGCCTCTGCCAGAACCTCTTCCTACAGAATGCCCTTCCTTAAGTCTATTCAAATGTCATCTTCTTGGTGAGGCTAGCACTGATCGCCTCTAGGTACAGCACTCCCTATTCCCTTCTCTGCTTAATTTTTCTCCATAGCATACTATCCTATGTATATTTAACTGATTTTGTTTATGGTCTGCCCCCCTGCCCCAATAGAAGCTCCATAAAGGCAAGGATTTTTGTCTTTGTTTACTGATGTGGCCCTCAAGGGCCTAGACTGTGCCTGAAACATAGTTGGAGTTTAAAAAATATTTGTTGAATAAAAGGATCCTCACAAATTCAGTAGTTAAAACCCAGTGTCTTTAGCATAAAGCTTTAGTATTGGTTACAATACTAATATCTTATGTAGGTGTTAATTTTTTTTTATGTTCTGCTATGAGGTAAGAGACTAGCCTTTAGGTGGGGGTAGTGAGGAACATCACTCATATCTTTAAAATTTTTTGAAAATAAATGTATATATTTAAGGTATACAACATGATATTTTGATATAGTGAAATAATTATTACAGTCAAGCTAATTAATATATCCATCTTAGAAATTATGAAGCTCGAGGCTCTGTTTGCAAGCAAAGTCACTTCCTAAATGAGTTACAGCGTATGAGGAGCTGCTTCCTGAGGCTTCCGAGAAACTGCTTCCTTTTCTGAACTTGCTGACACTAGCACTGAGCTCTTTTGAAAGTCAATATTCTGTATTTATGTGGTACTTCTAGAAGACATGAAATGTTCTGCAGACTTTATCATTTCCCAGCAGTGCGAATAACTGGCAAGTGGAACTGTTATCTTTTTGGTTCACACATGAGAAACTGGGACGAGTAGGGCAAAATAGGGTTTTACTGACTTGCATATAGCACCCCCTGCCCTGGAAAAACAAGTTACAAAAATCTACAAAAAATGAAAGAATTGGGAATTGGGCATGAATATTACTATTGAGATCTGAGGAATATGAAGTAAGCCCATCAAAACTGAGTAGAAAAAGTATGAGAAGCAGTCCCTGACATCTGGTAGCGGCCTTGGCACTTGCAGGAAGGCCTTGGCGTTCTGTTGCACATAATTGCACAGAATGTCAACAGCAGATAAGACTGCTCTGACTGTGGTAATTTCTCCTACTTTACAGATAGGTTTACTAAGATTCCTGGTCATAGAATTGCACCCACTTCCTGACAGCACCCTATCCAGAACAAACCCATGCTTTGGCCCTCTCCCAAATCACCTAACACAAGCCCAAATCCTTTCTAATGTTTCTTTCTGAAACCCCCAGAATCTCCCATAGAGTGCTGTCACCCTCCTCACAAGGAGGAATAAACTGCAGGTGAGAATTCCTGGTGGTCTTTGCCTGGAAGGTATTGACAGTTATCACTTGTCACTGTTGGGTTATTACAATGCAGATTCTAAAGAGGCAGCCTTAATTTGGTTTCCCTGACTCCTCTCATCCTCTTTTAGTCTTTTAATGCTGTGATCATACCAGTCTAATCTTAGCACTTTTGGAGGCTGAGAATTGAGAATCCTTGAAGCCAGGAGTTTGATTGACAACAGCCTGGGCA